ATGTGTGTATGCATGTGCATGCATGTGTGTATGTGTGCATGTGTGTACATGCATGTGTGTCTGTTTAGGAGGCAGTGGAAGGAACTAAGCTTAGCTCACAAATTCTGTGAGACCCCCACTTTGCCTGCATATCACTTATGCTTCCACTGAGGGAGTTTTCTCTTAACTCTGAGCTGCTCATTGTTAGGAGCCCTCATTCTGCCCAGTACCCCTGGCCAGGTATCCACTCTCCTGGCTTGCCTTTCTCTTTACTGAGAGTGGGATTTGGTCCCTTTGCTGTCTTAATTCTGTTTCCCTGGGGTTTGAGATTTCTTACTTCATCTGAGTTTGTTAGGTTGCAGAGAAAGTATTGCTAGATCCTGTAACAACTGCTTTCTGACTGCTTTACGTTCTCCTGTGTGTATCCTGGTAGGAGGAGCCATGGGAACAAAAGGAAGACAGGAGAGTGTAGGTAGGGGAAGGTTCCCTCTTTTGTGTGGGAGCCATGGGAGATAACTAGAATAAATGTCATTGTGCGGGACATGCTGGGCCCTGTATATATATATATGTGTGTGGGTAGGCTGGGCCCTGTGTATATATATGTATGTGTGGGCATGCTGGGCCCTGTGTATATATGTATGTGTGGGCATGCTGGACCCTGTGTGTGTGTGTGTATGTATGTATATGTGCGGGCAGGCTGGGCCCTGTGTATATATATATGTGTGTGGGTAGGCTGGGCCCTGTATATATATATGTATGTGTGGGCACGGTGAGCCCTGTGTGTGTATATATATATGTGGGCACACTGAGCACTGTATAATATATATATGGGCATGCTGAGCGCTGTGTATGTATGTATGTATGTATGTATATATGAATGTATATATGTATGTATATATGTATGTATGTGTGGGCACGCTGAGCCCTGTGTATGTATCACAGCTAATTAGGAGAACAGCTTAAGCTGCTTCGGTGTCAAAATAGCTGTGGGGAAAACAACCTTAATGGAAGGTTGCAGATGAAAGGAAACAGAATGGGAAAGAAACGAGGAGCATTTTAAAAGAAAACAATCGGGCTGGAGGGGCTGCGGAGAGACGAGAGCACTGCAGAAATGTGAGAAACAGGCACAGGGCAGTATGGATCTGAGTAGTGACAGGAGACAGCTCAGCCTCATGGTTTCTCAGTCCCAGTGCTCGCCATGCACAAATCCTCATAGATTCCTGGAGACGGTAGTGAGAAGTCTGACAGGGTGTTAGACAATGTCTGGGAGACTGCCAAAGAGCTTGCGGGGGCAGTCCTCGTCCTCAACTCAGGTCTGCACTTCCCATGGTTTCTCTTTTGGCTTTTCCCTGAGTCCCCTGATCCTTCTATTCCTCACCTGGCTCCCAACCTCTTAGTGCATGCTTCTCAAATCTTCTCTAATTCAGATGGGCTTCTTGAGTTTACAGAGTGGCTCCCAACCGGCCCAGAACTGGCTTGTCTAGCCAGCTTGGAGGACCTTATCTCCACTCCTCTCCTTCCTCGAGCTTTTCATGTTTCCCACTCTACTCTTCTGCTTCTGCTCCAGGTGCCATCTTCTACCCCGCCAGCTCAGTCTGGACTCGCCGCGTGCCGTCACCTTCACCATCGCTCTCTCACCATGGTAACATTTCCCTTCGCTTCTTGGCCACCACACATCTACATACAACCCAAAGAGTTGTGCTTGCTTCGTCCCACTTCCCAATTCATTCCCCACAGGGACAGATCGGGACAGACAGGATTATTCCACCTTTCTTCCAAAGAGCCTTCACTGCCTTTGCAGTTCTATCTAGCAATGCAGAAAAGAAGCCCCTGAAGTGTGATGGGTTAAAGCAGACATTTTAAATCCCATAATATGTAGATTGAAAATTCAGACAAGCATGGGAATTCTCCTGTTTTGCGGGACATCAGCAGGAGTCAGTTGGTTAGCTTGCAGCTGGCACTCATGTCACACATTGGCCACAAGGCCAGAGGCTGGGCCTGGTTGAGACTGTCTGCTTTAGTGTCCCTTTGTCCTCTACAGCTTAGCAATTTGAGGGTAGTTGGTCTTGTCACATGGTAACTCATGTCACTTAAGAGAGCTTCAGGGACGTTGCATGGTCTTATATGGCCTGGCATTAGAAGGCACAAAGCACTCTTTCCATAGGATGTCACTGGCTGACGCTGTCAAAGGGACAGGAGACACAGCCGCATCTGCATGACAGTGTTAGGAGAGAATGTCTAGACATCCTTCTAACCACCGTCAGGGAGCAGGATAGTTGTTCTTAAACATAGCGTGTGGCCCCTTCCTGGCTGGCCTCTACCGATCTGCCTGCTCAGCATTCCCAGACTCACTGCCTTTTGCCTTCAAAGGCTCTATTCATTCTTGCCAGCGCATAGATCCTTGAGTATTCGCTTCTTTCCCACTATTTGATCCCTCGCTATGTTTATAATGGACTCTTTACCCTTCCTTCTGCTAACAGATTTCCATCCCCTCAGCTCAAGTGCTGCTCCCTGCAGGAAGATTCCTGTGAATTCACGTGTCCAGGTTAGCTGCTTCCCCATGTGACCAAGCAGTACTCAGTACTGTAACAGTAACAGTAACAGTAACAGATGAACAGCCTACATTCCTTGCTAAAGTAAACATCGCTAGAGGCAAGGCTGTGCTTTCTTCAGCGTTTCCATCCTCAGAATCTACACACAAGATATCTTGCGCATATTAGTTGTTCAACAGATGGTCATTGAGCCCCTTACCCCTCTGTCTCAGTTTCCCCATTCCTAAAGACAGGATGTTGGTTAAGGGGTTCATTGCTTTTCTGTTGCTGTGACAAAGCATCAACCACACCAAGGCAACGTATAGAAGGGACTGTTTATTTAGACTTGCAGTTCCACAGAGGGAGGATCCCTAATGGCCCAGGAGGGATGGTGGCAGGAGGCGGGAGCAGGAAGCCGAGAGCTCACATTTTAAACTGTAAGCACAAAACAGAGAGAAGGAGAGATAGAGAGATATAGAGAGCAGAGATATATATGGAGATAGAGAGAGATATAGACAGAGATAGAGACACAGGGATATATATAGAGAGAGAGATAGAGATATATATATAGAGAGAGATACAGGGATATAGAGATAGAAATAGAGACAGACTGATAGAGATAGGTAGATAGATAGATAGATAGATACATACATACATACATACATACACACACACAAACATACACAGGTAGATAGATAGGGAAATAGAAGGTAAAGCTATGAATTCTTAAAGCCTGCCACCAGTGTCGGACTTCCTTTAGCAAGGCTCTGCCACTTTTCCAAACAGTGCTACCAACTGGGTACCATGTGTGCTGAGCCTGTGGGGACATTTCTCATGTACACTAGCACCGTTCAGGCTGGGGCTGGGAAACCAGTTTGCCCTGGTGCCACTGGCCCTTTCAGTCTCTTCCTTGTGCATTACTGTGGTGTGTCTGGAAAGCAATGAGTGTGTTCAGAAAAAGAGGGCTTGACTAACTAGTGATGTGGGCCCAGCTATGGCAGAGGTTCCATGGATGCTGTGGATTTGATGTACATTTGAGGCCTCTCTGGCATTAAATCTCCATTTGTGCTATACTATATAACATGTGTTTCTAAAATCCTGGACTGTAAGAGTTGGGGGCTTTCTATGTAGTAATCCATTTAACAATCTTGGGTGCCCAAATTAGAAATCTAAGAAGCAGAGGGAAATTGATTTACTCAAAGTCAGAACCTGCGTCCAGGGTCAGGTCTCTGTAATGAGGGTAGGCGTTTATTGGAGATGTGGTGTACACCAACCAAACCACAGCTCGATGCTAATTTCCTCTCTTGTCCTCTCTCAGCTCCCTGACTGTAGGATAAAATCCACTGGACTTGCACCTTGGATATCGTCACTTACCAGCCGTGTGTACTTTGAGACAATTACTTCGCTTTTCCTAGATTTTAGTTTTCTGTAAATTGTGGGCAACGCCGTCTCAGAGGTGAGGCGATACTGGAAGAACACGTTACGGCTGCCTCTGGAGTACAGTAAGGAACCACGGCCTTCATGCTAAGATGAGTGTACAGTTACCACTGGGGTTCTTACTTGACACGCTCCCTGGAGCCAGCGCAGAGGCCCACGCTTTGGTTAATGATAAACGAATAGTTTCATTTCCCCAACCTGAATGTTTTAAAACTGTGGTGATCGTGGCTTGTTCATGAGAGATGTTTCCAATCGGGATTCCCATAAAGAGAAGAGAGACTCACTTAACAATCCAGAGGATTGACCGTGACTGGGTAATTTTGTCTTTGATGAGGAGAGAGAGACAAGATGGCAGAAGCCAATATGAAGCAGTTGACCCCAGACTTGTGTGTGTCTTAAGGTAAAAGTATAAGGGAATAGGCCAGCCTATGGGGGCGGGCATAGTGTGAGTCCTCAGAATCTGATGTTCATCACTGGCAGAATTATAATAATGCATTAAATTGACTTGGGGAAAGTCAGCAGAGGATAGCTACAGTCCAGTCCAGCAGTGCACTGAAGACTCGAGGATCAGCGGGGAGCGAGGGGGTGTTAATCTGATTTCAGGAGGGCTAATGCACAAGACTCTCTAAGCACCAGTGACGAGTACATCTCTAATCATCATGTATTAAATTTAGTACCAAGGAGAGAGGCACTTCTCCCGCCTCAATTTTATGGAATGCAATTAACATGGATATGAAAAAAGTTAAAAGAAACAGAATTAGATTTGAACTTCATAGTCTATCTCAGAGCAAAAATGAAGATGTACTTGTAGGGGTGTTAGCCGAGATGTTTCCAGGGACTCTAGGTTTCAGCTGAAGTGACTCTGTCCTGTACATTTTTCCCCTCCTTGGCCCTTTCCTGGAGGCGTAAGTTTACCGAAATGGCTGGGTGTGGTGAGGGCGAGAGGAGGGAAGCTACGATGCCAACATCACAAAGAAGGATTTCAGGCTGATTGTACACGGGAGAAAGGAAGGACTTGTTAGCTGTGAAGCCTTTGTCAGCATGACATTGAGGATCTTTAACCTGATGGCCGATGGTCAGCTACAGTGTTGACATATAGCAAGGTCTACCCACAGTGCCCAGAGGGGGGACTTCTGATCTCCTCCCCGCAGCCATATCTCCTCAGCTTCTGAACAGGGGGTTTGGATACCAACACTGAGAGTTTCAAAAGCCCGTTTGGCTATCAGCATCTGGAAAGGTCCTTTCTTCCTGGCCCGTCCTCTTCAATGTTGACAATATTTGAATCCAGGGGAAGACAGACAGACAGACAAACAAACAAACAAACAAACAACAAAAACAAAATACCCTGGGCAGGGGGAGGGTCTGAAGGCACCTCCTGCTGTTGGCAGTGAAAGCACCTTCTGCGTCATTGTGTCTTGGTAAGTGGCTGTGCTTGTCACAGCACTGTTTTGGACATGTTCTTCCTTTTTTAGATTTTAAAAAATATCTTTGTATGTATGAGCGTTTGCTTCATACACAGTGTATGTGTGCACCGTGTCAGTTCCTGGTGTCCACGGAGGTCAGAAGAGGGCATTGGATCCTCTGGAACTTGAGTTACAGAAGGTTATGAGCCACCATGTGGGTCCTGGGAACCGAACCCTGGTCTTCTGTAAGAGTAGCAAGACCTCTTAGCCATAGAGCCGTCTCTTCAACTCTTATCAGATGTGTTTTTAATAGAGGAAGTCTTTGATGTCACGCACACGGATTTGTCTCCTTCATAGCATGTGGTATCTCTTCAGTAGGAGCTAAGAAGCAGAGCCCCTCGGTCAGGATAAACATTAGAAAACTGTATAATTAAACGAGTGTGTTTAATTGGAAAATTGACCCAAAGCTCCATTTAGCGTCCCTTCCCCGACCAGACAGGCCAGGCCTATGTGAAGCCTGGCTCCGTCAGGAGTTGGGGACGAAGCTTGCTTGATTAAGATGTTTCTTGGGAAATGGAATTAAGCCTAATGATTTCCAATGGAAAGGACTGTTAATTGGGGAGGCAATGTTGCTTAATTGGGACACCTGCGGGTAATTAAAAACTCTCTCCCAGTGGCCTTTCCTGCTTCTGGCTCTGGGAGGCGAAGGATTGCGAGGGATCCAGGCATTCTCAGGGCCGGTTTGTAGTTTCTCCCTTGCCCTCTGTCCAAACTCAGCAAGCTATTCCTGTCTGTCCCTTGGCGTGTTGTTCTTAGAGTGCCATCCTCCGCGGACTGGAGCCTTGCTGAGTTAAGGTCTCTGAATCTCAGCGGCTCTTGGGGAAACTCAGGAGCTCACCGGAAAGGGGAGAATCAGGGAACGACAGTTGGATGTGGTCACCTGTGATCTTGGCATTCAGAGGGGCAAAGATTCAAAGCTAACTATAGTTATGGAGCAAGTTTGAGACTAGCCTGGGAATAAAACGGTAAAGACAGTGAGGTCATATGACGGCAACTAAGGAGTCCCGGCCCTAGCAACCAAAGAGACCTGGCAGCCAGGGACTTGTTGCAGATGGCCCTTTGTGCAGAGAGAAGTGTCCTGCTCCAGTGTGGGAGGCCCCAGAAGATCCTCTGGATTAGCTATCAACACAGATTTCTGCTTCAGATCTGAAGCTGGGATTATGACATTTCCTCAACTCCATCCATCAAGTGGGGGTGACTGTACTTGATTACAAGATACTATGGTGATGACTGTACACAATTACAAGACACTATAAGGGTCTTTCTCCTGTAGGTGTTGTGGGGGAGGGAAGGTGAATGTTTTGTTTGTTTTGGCAAAAGTGTCTCACTCAGGTTGGCTGAGACTTCAGCCCTCTAGTTGCAACAGTCCGTTCTGCCCCACGTTCGGGGGCCACTTTGTAACTGCCCGAGCTGCTGCTCCAATCTGTGGGTAGGGTCTAGCAAGAGAGAGCGTGGCGATGGAGGGGCGAGAGACACAAAAGATGGATACAAGACAGAGTCTGGTCTAGTCTCCCTTTTATTGAAAGGAAATCGTGGTTATATATAAGCACAAGCAGGGGACTGCAGCTGAAGACACTTTACCACGTGTGCCTTGCAGCTGGGGGCATTAAACAACAAAACAAGATATGTAAGAAAAGCAAGATATTTATCAGAGTGTGCTTAGCTGTTGTAGGCTGTTGAAAACAAGTCTCTTGTCAGGGTATATGGCTCAGCCGCTTTCGGCTAGGAGCTGGCTCCCAACACTAGTCTCAGTCCAGGGGCAGACACGTCTGTAAAACAGGTCTGTAAACCGGTGCTTGGTGTTTTGTGTTCTGGGTCCTACTGGCCGATAGAGAGGTGTTCTGAGCATGGCTGGGTTCGGAGAAAGTGTTGGAGAGCAGTGGCTGAGGCTCAGCACAGCTTTTTAGGACTGCCTAGGATGGGGGAAAGACAGTGTCAGGTGGAAAGAACAGGGCACACAGGCCTCTAGAACGTTCTGGGTGTTGTTGCTGGTATGTTTCTGTTGGGCATTGTGGGGAAGGAGAAGAGTTGGGGGTATGGAGTAGCAGAGGTTACACAGGAGGGGTCTCAGAAGCCATGGGTGTTCCTTCAGGGAGCTGGTTGGGTCTTTCTGTAATGGGCAGGTGGATGCTGAGGAGCAGCAAGGGCGGGTGGTGAGGAAAGCCTCCTGTGGGATGTACATTCTTGTCTGGGAGCAAAAGAGAAGGGAGGTGGTTGCTTGGATAGTCTCAGAGACAGGTGACAAGTTCCCAAGCTCAGGCAAAGGCAGAACCAGCGAGAGACACTGTGGGTGTGTATCAGGGCTTGCTTGACAGTGTTGGTTTCTGAGGATGCTGTACAAGGCTTCGCCCGCCGGCATCCCTGCTTCTCCAGCAGCCAATGTCCCGTTGCTCACACTTCCTCCCCTCCCCTCATCTCTCATTAAGGAAATGGGCTCCAAAGATCCCGACATTGTGATGGAAACACTGGGGGAATCCCAAGACTCCCACCTGATGTCCCCTAACAATAGGGGTGAATTGGGACGAGGATTTGGGTGGGACCTCCCAACAGGAAGCAAGCTCGGTGTTCCAGTTTCAGCTCTGAGATGAGGCAGGACTGAACAGCAACCAGGCTGGGAGCACAGGACAGTTGGGTAACTGTCGCTTTCATGGTGACAGCCGTCTCATGTTCTCTCCTTTCCTTGTGGTTTGGGTGACAGGCACAGCATTCATGTGCACTGGGTAAGGTAGGTTCCATTTCCAGTCTTTCTTGAAACGCTCTTCCCAAGAGCTGGGTCACCTAAAAGGCTCAGTTCCAGTGGCCAGGGCTGCTGCATAGTCTCTGGATGGAATCTGTTACCTTCCAGCCCCATCAACACCAACTTTAGTGTTGAAGACTGTTGAAGTGTTCGGCTGTGATTTTCTGTAAAGTACTTCTGTGACTAGCCACTTTGTAGATGACCAGTTCATATGGTTGAGGTCAGCTATGGGGAAGAGCCACTTGATTTTCTTCATAAACCTGTAACTGGTCCAGGCTTCCTCCCCATCCCTCATGACACTAACTAGCTGTGCTGTCCCTCAGCGGAGAATGCCTTAGACTGAGATTGAAATATGACAGTGTCCACACAGGGAGCTTCTGGGAACGTTTTCAGAATTCTCATTCTGAAGCTGAAGTTCAGTCCTTTTAAATGATTTGTTTTCCTTTTGAAGTCCTACCGGAGAAGAGCAGGGGTCTGGAAAGGGCCTTTTCTTGTGTGGGAGACCACTGTGGCCTGTTTTACCTGAGTGGCTTCCAGGGCAGGACCTGTTTCTTCCCCTGGCTTCTGTGCCTCTGTGAGCAGTAAAGACCAGCCATTCCCTGGTGCCAGCTTTACCACTGACCACTGAGACGGATTTCCCTGACATGTGCAAAGTTATGCTGCTACTTGGTGCACGTCTGCTGGGCGAACGAGTTCATGGGCTTTATTTCAGTGAGGTATTTCCCCAAAGAGAAAGAGGGGGCAGTGCCACAAAGCCCAACATTTAAATCTGTGGGTTGTGACCCATTACGGGCTGTCACAACTGAGTGTAGGTATCATGAACACTTTGGCAAGTGGTAAAAAGGTTTCTGAACATGTAATGACCAAAACTCGAAATCAAGCATGGCATGAATCCTGGGTGCTTCTGTATGCTCTCGCCTTTGCTGCATTGTGTGACTTCACGGTAGCCTTGGTTCTGAACACACAGCACACATACTTTGGACTGCACATGCCACCATGCCATGTCTGAAACCCCTCAGCTCAGATCTGTGGCTACATCCTGTGACTTGCACTTATTTTAATTGCATGTATAAACAACATTTCTCTCTCCTGATAGGAGCATAATCACTTAATTATGAAAAAGGCCTTTTATTATTTCTCTACTGTCATTCTTCACATGTAAATATCAAATTAGACTGTCTTTGAGTTGTCTGGTGTTAA